TATGGCCTGACAAGGTTAGAGGTTAGAGTTCACTGGCTAATACAATCAACAGTACACACAGTTTTATACGTCACAGTAAACTCACCAACCTACCATTAACCGACCACCAGGGGCGTCAATGGATAGGTTTATGTCTACTGGGGTTTACTAGGGGCGTCTATGGATAGGTTTATGTCCTGCTGGGGTTTACTAGGGGCGTCAGCGGATAGGTTTATGTCCTACTGGGGTTAACTAGGGGTGTCAATGGATATGTTTATGTCCTACTGGGGTTAACTAGGGGCGTCAATGGATCGGTTTATGTCCTACTGGGGTTTACTAGGGGCGTCAATGGATAGGTTTATGTCCTACTGGGGTTTACTAGTGGCGTCAGTGGATAGGTTTATGTCTACTGGGGTTTACTAGGGGCGTCAATGGATAGTTTTATGTCCTGCTGGGGTTTACTAGGGGCGTCAATGGATAGGTTTATGTCCTACTGGGGTTAACTAGGGGCGTCAATGGATAGGTTTATGTCCTATTGGGGTTAACTAGGGGCGTCAATGGATAGGTTTATGTCCTACTGGGGTTTACTAGGGGCGTCAATGGATAGGTTTATGTCCTGCTGGGGTTTACTAGGGGGCGTCAGTGGATAGGTTTATGTCCTATTGTAACTGGTTTAATAGTGGCGTCAATGGATAGGTTTATGTTTATGTCCTGCTGGGGTTTACTAGGGGCGTCAGTGGATAGGTTTATGTCCTATTGTAACTGGTTTAATAGTGGCGTCAATGGATAGGTTTATGTTTATGTCCTGCTGGGGTTTACTAGGGGGCGTCAGTGGATAGGTTTATGTCCTATTGTAACTGGTTTAATAGTGGCGTCAATGGATAGGTTTATGTTTATGTCCTGCTGGGGTTTACTAGGGGCGTCAGTGGATAGGTTTATGTCCTACTGGGGTTTACTAGGGGCGTCAATGGATAGGTTTATGTCCTGCTGGGGTTTACTAGGGGGCGTCAGTGGATAGGTTTATGTTTATGTCCTGCTGGGGTTTACTAATGGCGTCAATGGATAGGTTTATGTTTATGTCCTGCTGGGGTTTAATAGGGGCGTCAATGGATAGGTTTATGTTTATGTCCTGCTGGGGTTTACTAATGGCGTCAATGGATAGGTTTATGTTTATGTCCTGCTGGGGTTTAATAGGGGCGTCAATGGATAGGTTTATGTTTATGTCCTGCTGGGGTTTACTAATGGCGTCAATGGATAGGTTTATGTTTATGTCCTGCTGGGGTTTACTAATGGCGTCAATGGATAGGTTTATGTCCTGCTGGGGTTTACTAGGGGCGTCAATGGATAGGTTTATGTCCTGCTGGGGTTTAATAGGGGCGTCAATGGATAGGTTTATGTTTATGTCCTGCTGGGGTTTACTAATGGCGTCAATGGATAGGTTTATGTTTATGTCCTGCTGGGGTTTACTAATGGCGTCAATGGATAGGTTTATGTCCTACTGTAACTGGGTTTACTAGGAGCATCAATGGATTCACATTTACAAATCGATCCCCTAACAAAATCAACATCCTCTTACACTACACAATAAATTCTTAACATGCAATCTCATTTATCAAGGATCAACTAAGTCACGCCTTCCCCATTGAACTGACTACCATATTTACAAACACAGAACACCCCATTCACAACCATAATACAAGGCCCATCTATGTAATTTATGTCCGGTAACTTCCGCCTTAAAGAGCCCACCCTACAACAATCAATTCATGAAATTGACCCTACACTAGCACGAAGACATCAACAGAGTCATTAAATATTGTATCCACACCCAAGTAAAGACTTGTCTACACTCAACTGGAGAAAAATTGTGTATTATGTTTCAGCTCAATAATCCTCATCAAATATTCAAACACCAAGTCATTTGACCACGCCCACCGTGTGGCTATTTTTAGATGAAACGTGTCGAGCCGGGTCGAGAGGACAAGCCCTTGTCTTTGTCCTACAGACACCAACTTTGTCCTACTGGCACCCCCTTTGTCCTACAAACACCATCTTTGTCCTACAGACACCATCTTTGTTCTAAACTTTGTCCTACAGACACCAACTGTGTCCTACACTTTGTCCTACAGACACCATCTTTGTCCTACAGACACCATCTTTGTCCTACAGACACCATCTTTGTCCTACAGACACCAACTTTGTCCTACACTTTGTCCTACACACACCAACTTTGTCCTACAGACGGCAACTTTGTCCTACACTTTGTCGTACACACACCAACTTTTTCCTACAGACGCCCACTTTGTCCTACAGACACCAAATTTGTCCTACAGACACCAACTTTGTCCTACAGACACCATCTTTGTCCTACAGAGACCATCTTTGTCCTACAGACACCCACTTTGTCCTACAGACACCATCTTTGTCCTACACTTTGTCCTACACACACCAACTTTGTCCTACAGACACCAACGTTGTCCTTTCTACTACACTCTACCAGTGGTACACTCTCTCACACTACTTCCACACTCCTAACAATTATCTCCCACACACTCCCACGCTCGTAACACATCTCCCCCCCCCAACCTATCGACGTCAAACATGAAACAACATCAAGATGACACCCACTAAAGGCGCCCAGATATCTGTGCACTAAACTCTAGTCCCGTCCCATGAACCTCTTCACATGCCAGCACTTCAACATCTGGACACACGGCAAGGGCCAACATTGGCCAGATAAAATGGCCAGGGCCAACATCGGCCAGACAATACGGCCATGTCCAGCCTCACTGCACGGCCTACCAGAAACCTCTCACCCCCCCCCCCCCTCCCACCCCACCCCCTCCCCTCCCTCATAGCATGCTAATGCATCTATGACCGGAAATAGAAACTCTCATCTAGAACAAAAAGGTGACCAGCGGAATTGATAGATGATTTTTTTCTTGTTTTATGGGTAACAAGATAAGGAGGGGCGTCTGATTCGTTGGGGTTGTTAGAGGATGGTGATGATAGCTGTGTCACAGTGGTTGGGTGATGTGTAACACTGGGAACTGTGTCACGGTGGTTGGGAACTGTGTCACGGGGGTTGGGTGATGTGTCACAGTGGTTGGGTGATGTGTAACACTGGGAACTGTGTCACACTTGTTGGGAGCTGTGTCACAGTGGTTGGGTGATGTGTAACACTGGGAACTGTGTCAAGGTGTTTGGGAACTGTGTCACAGTGATTGGGTGATGTGTAACACTGGGAACTGTGTCACGGTGGTTGGGAACTGTGTCACAGTGGTTGGGTGATGTGTAACACTGGGAACTGTGTCACGGTGGTTGGGAGCTGTGTCACGCTGGTTGGGAGCTGTGTCACAGTGGTTGGGTGATGTGTAACACTGGGAACTGTGTCACGGTGGTTGGGAACTGTGTCACAGTGGTTGGGAGATGTGTCACGGTGGTTGGGAGCTGTGTCACGGTGGTTGGGAGCTGTGTCACGGTGGTTGGGAGCTGTGTCACAGTGGTTGGGTGATGTGTAACACTGGGAACTGTGTCACGGTGGTTGGGAACTGTGTCACGGTGGTTGGGAACTGTGTCACGGTGGTTGGGAACTGTGTCACAGTGGTTGGGAGATGTGTCACGGTGGTTGGGAGCTGTGTCACGGTGGTTGGGAGCTGTGTCACGGTGGTTGGGAGCTGTGTCACGGTGGTTGGGAACTGTGTCACAGTGGTTGGGTGATGTGTAACACTGGGAACTGTGTCACGGTGGTTGGGAACTGTGTCACGGTGGTTGGGAACTGTGTCACGGTGGTTGGGAGCTGTGTCACGGTGGTTGGGAGCTGTGTCACGGTGGTTGGGAGATGTTAGATTATGGAGAGGTTAGCATATCACTAGGATGCGGCTATTTGAGTTGATTTGAAAAAAAAACATCCACTAGTTGAAGGAATGGCTTTGAATATTGTGAGAAACGTCTTACAAGGATGCTCTTTTGTCCTTCTACCGTATACGGCTGTGATTTCTGATTACAAAATGACGGACAACGGCCATTTTTGGAATTCAAAGCACTCAATCTTAGACACAATAGCCGCCTATAGACCACGAAGATTGAGAGCGTACATGGATGTAATTTGTTTTAACTGTAGATGAAATCTTTGCCTCAGGCTGGTCCCCGTTAAAGGGAGCATCTAGTGGCAGCACTGACTGGCTATGTTCCCACTGCATCACCTAGCATTTAGGGGCAGCACTGACTGGCTATGTTCCCACTGCATCACCTAGCATCTAGTGGCAGCACTGACTGGCTATGTTCCCACTGCATCACCTAGCATCTAGTGGCAGCACTGACTGGCTATGTTCCCACTGCATCACCTAGCATCTAGTGGCAGCACTGACTGGCTATGTTCCCACTGCATCACCTAGCATCTAGTGGCAGCACTGACTGGCTATGTTCCCACTGCATCACCTAGCATCTAGTGGCAGCACTGACTGGCTATGTTCCCACTGCATCACCCAATTAGTCCCGGAAGTTTATTTAATGCTGTCTTTTAAAACTCTTTCATCCCCCCCCCCCCCCGGCATTGGTTGTATACAATGGGAAGGTTTGACTGGGAGGGGGACAGTACGACCGTCCGTCTCTGAGTCCACTCAGCTATGTTGGGTACCTGAAAGTACAGGGAAATTAAAGAAACAAAGAAACTATCCCCCCCCCCCCCACCCCAATATGTCGAGCTCACAGAAACAGGCAAACACTACTTCACCTGCATCATACATGATACCCCGCAGTCCCAAAAGACTATGCCCTCTCAGTGTGAGAAATATCTAGGTCGGGTTGTCTGCGAACCGTACAACAAAATTAGAAAATCGTGTTATGGCCTATAACTCCAGTCTATAAGTACAGCTTTTGACCCCTAAAATGGCAGCATCAAGACATGGTTTCACAAGTTCGTATGTATAGAGGTAAGGGGACGTAATCGAGTAAATATAAAAACGCGGATAAGAGCTGTTTTGCTCCCTTGAGTATGAAAAACCACACTACACACAAAATGATAAAAAATGAATGTATTGATTCGATTAACAAAACTGTACATCAACATGATTCCAGTAAATAAATAGCAAACATAATCCAGCGTGCTCCCCAGATCTAGCGTGGTGCGTAAAAGCTACAGAAATGGTGAGCCTTAAAGTTGGAGACCTTCTTGCCATCCTTGGTGTAGAGGAGCAGCTTGAAGCACTGGGCACAGAGAAAACAGGGGTCTGTTGGGATCAGGGGGGAGTCACGCACCACCCATCTGAAAATAGACGGATACATTCAAAGTCTTCTTCAGGTACACAGGATTAGTAAGTATATGACAAAATTTAAAGGTAAGTAACTACATGACAAAATGAACTAATATTGTAACACAAGACAAAACCTATGAAACCTACTAAAATTTTAACACTGCACAAAACCTATAAAACATACTAACAATGTAACACAACATAAAACCCTTAAAACATTGTAACACAAGAGAAAACCTATAAAACCTTGCAACACAAGAGACAACCTATAAAACCTTGCAACACAAAACCTATAAAACCTTGCAACACAAAACCTATAAAACCTTGCAACACAAAACCTATAAAACCTTGTATCACAAAACCTATAAAACCTTACAACACAAAACCTATAAAACCTTGTAGCACAAAACCTATAAAACCTTGTATCACAAAACCGTGTAACACAACACAAAACTATAAAACCTTGCAACACAAAACCTATAAAACCTTGTATCACAAAACCTATAAAACCTTGTGTCACAAAACCTATGAAACCTTGTAACACAAAACCTATGAAACCTTGCAACACAAAACCTACAAAACCTTGTATCACAAAACCTACAAAACCTTGCAACACAAAACCTATAAAACCTTGCAACACAAAACCTATAAAACCTACTAACTCTGTAACACAACACAAAACCTACAAAACCTATAAAACCTTGCACCACAAAACCTATAAAACCTTGCACCACAAAACCTATAAAACCTTGCAACACAAAACCTACAAAACCTTGCAACACAAAACCTATAAAACCTTGCACCACAAAACCTATAAAACCTTGCAACACAAAACCTACAAAACCTTGCAACACAAAACCTACAAAACCTTGCACCACAAAACCTATAAAACCTACTAACTTGGTTGACATCTTGGTACAACCCTGACACATGGCTCTCTGGTTGACTCTGGTGACTGCCACTATTGGATACTGTCGGATATCCTGGACGTCATCCACATTAAACAGCCTGGAGACAAGGATAGAAAACCATGGATACTGTTTGACATCTGGGATGTCATATACATTTAACAAACTTGCTAAAATTAAAATGTGGCTAAACATTTTCCATTTTTTATTATATCTAATGAAATAAAGTTTGGTTTTATTACTTTTTAGTACATTAAAAGATTGCAATATAAAATAATTGCTTCATTGCTTTTTATTTTCAACAGTTTAGTATCTAACAAAAAATCAATATTTTAGTTTTAAAAACAATTAGGATATTATTGTAACATTCTTCATCAAAACTTCAGCCCCCTTGGTTAAAATTATTAGCTGTTAAGAGCAATCTTTGGCTATGGATATTTTAACTCTAAAGACAGGAGAAGAGAACTCACCTGATGTCAGTAAAGGGAACTCACCTCATATCAGTAAAGAGAACAGCGTGCTCACAGTTGCCTTGGTGTAAGAAACTCACCTCATATCAGTGAAGAGAACAGCATGCTCACAGTTGCCTTGGTGTAAGAACAGATAGTTGTGGCCCATCCTAATCTTCAGGTCAAAAAAGCTCGTGTCCTGCATGTTGTCTGTGGTCATGTGCTGGTCAGGCATGTGATCTTTGGCCCACTGAATGATAGGCCTGAAATTTACATCACAAGAAGGAATAAGTCAGAAAAAATAATTTACATCACCAGAAAGAAAAGGTCTCAGAAAAAATAATTTACATCACCAGAAGAAAGTCTCAGAAAAAATAATTTACATCACCAGAAAGAAAAGGTCTCAGAAAAAATAATTTACATCACCAGAAAGAAAAGGTCTCAGAAAAAATAATTTACATCACCAGAAAGAAAAGGTCTCAGAAAAAAAATTTTTACATCACCAGAAAGAAAAAGTCTCAGAAAAAATAATTTACATCACCAGAAGAAAGTCTCAGAAAAAATAATTTACATCACCAGAAAGAAAAGGTCTCAGAAAAAATAATTTACATCACCAGAAACAAAAAGTCTCAGAAAAAATAATTTACATCACCAGAAAGAAAAAGTCTCAGAAAAAATAATTTACATCACCAGAAGAAAGTCTCAGAAAAAATAATTTACATCACCAGAAAGAAAAAGTCTCAGAAAAAATAATTTACATCACCAGAAGAAAGTCTCAGAAAAAATAATTTACATCACCAGAAGAAAGTCTCAGAAAAAATAATTTACATCACCAGAAGAAATAAGACTCAGAAAAAATAATTTACATCACCAAAGAAAAATGCCACAAAAAAAACCTACAAGGCATGTGATTTGCATATTATGAAATAAATTTCCCAAGAGAATGTGCTTTAACTAGAAACATCAGCAAAAGTCTGCTTCAGATAAAAATATCGGTCTGTCTTTTAATGTTAAACTCAATTATGACATACTTCTATTGTAGCTACTTTACATTTAGTTCAAACTTTCCAGATAAACTTTAAAAAGCTGTAGATATTGGTTATTTAGAGTTACTAATTGGTTTCAAAGCAAATATTTGTAGTCACAAGGGGTGTCTAATTAATTAAAATTAACCTACTTTTTAAAAGAATAAATATGGCGTTAACTCATTAAAAACAATTTTTTGACTTACTCTTGTATCTTAATTAACCATCTTTAAATATTAACAGGTAGACAATCCTAATGTATAAAAGCCCATGCGCGCACTTCTCTCTCTCTCTCTCACTTTCCGTGTGTCCAGAGCTATATACAACTTTAATATATTGCTGATGATACATGATCTCATTTTTAAAAATAACCTAAATTGTCTTTAGATGTAATAGTAAAATTAAAAGTGTTGGTAACAAAATATATTGAAAACTTCATGAGTGAAGAAAATTTATGTTTATTTTCTTTAATGTTAAACTTATTATTATAAATGTTTTTTATACTTTTGATACTAAATATAGAATTTTTAAATTAACTTTTAATAACTAACTTAATATCTAATTTGATCAAAAATTAAATATTGAGTTGTCATAGCAAAGGCATTTATCTGGAAAGTTTGAACAAAATCACAGCATTAGAAATAGGTGAAAAGGGAGTCAAAAGAATCGACCAAAAAATCATTGTGACCTAAATAAAATGAGTGGACACCCATTTGATATAAATAATAGATTTATAATCCTTGTATTTCATGTTTTTGATGTTTTTAACTCTGCCTACTACAAGCAAAACTCACCTCTTGCTATAGAGGTAATTAAAAATGGTATCTGTACAGTACAGCGAGTGTGTGGTAAACCAATGATCAGCCGATGAGGTCACTACTTACTTGGAGTAATCTTTGTTGTCAGGTAATCTCGTGTCGTTGTAGAAAACATTTTCAATGAAAAAACAACTGGACTTGTAAATATCCTGTGGTAAAAAAAATGGTTTTGAAAGAAAAGCTAAAACAAAATGCTGTGTTACAGAAGGGAAAAACAAAAAGAACGGATGATTGCCAAAATGTTGCAGCTAAATCTGAACGCATACCCCAGCCTACTGTAGTGACATAAAGTGTGTAAACCATAGAATGGCATACATAAAGTGTGTAAACCATAGAATGGCATACATAAAGTGTGTAAACCATAAAATGGCATACATAAAGTGTGTAAACCATAGAATGGCATACCCCAGCCTACTGTAGTGACATAAAGTGTGTAAACCATAGAATGGCATACCCCAGCCTACTGTAATGACATAAAGTGTGTAAACCATAGAATGGCATACCCCAGCCTACTGTAGTGACGTAAAGTGTGTAAACCATAGAATGGCATACCCCAGCCTACTGTAATGACATAAAGTGTGTAAACCATAGAATGGCATACCCCAGCCTTCTGTAGTTTGCTGACGTCCACCTCTGGGTAAGAGCTGTAGTCCCCTGGTATCATGGCATCAGTGGCACACTGGATCTTGTCCCGAAGTTCTGACAGTTTTTGACTGCCGAGGACCAAGTAAGTCTCTCTCTCTTTCAGCTACAAGAAAGTAAACAATGGTGTCACACAAGTGGGTCAAACAATGCTGTCACACAAGTGGGTCAAACAATGCTGTCACACAAGTGGGTCAAACAATGGTGTCACACAAGTGGGTCAAACAATGGTGTCACACAAGTTGGTCAAACAATGGTGTCACACAAGCGGGTCAAACAATGGTGTCACACAAGTGGGTCAAACAATGGTGTCACACAAGTGGGTCAAACAATGGTGTCACACAAGTGGGTCAAACAATGCTGTCACACAAGTGGGTCAAACAATGGTGTCACACAAGTGGGTCAAACAATGGTGTCACACAAGTGGGTCAAACAATGCTGTCACACAAGTGGGTCAAACAATGCTGTCACACAAGTGGGTCAAACAATGGTGTCACACAAGTGGGTCAAACAATGGTGTCATACAAGTGGGTCAAACAATGGTGTCACACAAGTGGGTCAAACAATGGTGTCACACAAGTGGGTCAAACAATGGTGTCACACAAGTGGGTCAAACAATGGTGTCACACAAAGAGGTCAAGGCAGCAGCGTATAGAGTAGGGCCTTGGTATAGCATACTTTTACCTCATTGTGTTTTATACTCAACAGTTTTGACTTCAATATTTAGAATTTATTACAAATTTGCCATGATTTATTAGAATAATGAAAATACTGAAAATGATCCATTAAAACATTAAAAACAATATTCAAACAATTAAATACATTCAAAATGAGAGGGAGAATGGAAAACAAATTATCTCCCTTTTTCTATTAATAGTTAAATAAAACCTGGGAAGGATGGAGGGGAGGTAAACACAACAATAGAGAGAGTAGAACACTCTCACAGGAGGGGAGGTAAACACAGCAATAGAGAGAGTAGAACACTCTCACAGGAGGGGAGGTAAACACAACAATAGAGAGAGTATAACAAAGCCAACCTTGTTAGTGACTACTCCCATCATTAGACATCGTGTCACCTGAACAGTGAGTACCACATTAGGGGTAGGGACACGGTACTCTACATCCTCTGGCTCTGCGCTGGAACAAAATGTCCCCTGAAACAAACAAGATCTACTTAAAATGTCCCCTAAAACAAACAAGATCTACTTTAAATGTCCCTGAAACAAACAAAATCTACTTAAAATCTCCCCTGAAACAAACAAGATCTACTTAAAATCTCCCCTGAAACAAACAAGATCTACTTAGAATGTCCCCTAAAACAAACAAGATCTACTTTAAATGTCCCTGAAACAAACAAGATCTACTTAAAATGTCCCCTGAAACAAACAAGATCTACTTTAAATGTCCCTGAAACAAACAAAATCTACTTAAAATGTCCCCTAAAACAAACAAAATCTACTTAAAATCTCCCCTGAAACAAACAAGATCTACTTAAAATGTCCCCTGAAACAAACAAGATCTACTTAAAATGTCCCCTAAAACAAACAAGATCTACTTAAAATCTCCCCTGAAACAAACAAGATCTACTTAAAATCTCCCCTGAAACAAACAAGATCTACTTAAAATCTCCCCAGAAACAAACAAGATCTACTTTAAATGTCCCCTAAAACAAACAAGATCTACTTTAAATGTCCCCTAAAACAAACAAGATCTACTTAAAATCTCCCCTGAAACAAACAAGATCTACTTAGAATGTCCCTGAAACAAACAAAATCTACTTAAAATCTCCCCTGAAACAAACAAGATCTACTTAAAATCTCCCCAGAAACAAACAAGATCTACTTAAAATCTCCCCTGAAACAAACAAGATCTACTTTAAATGTCCCTGAAACAAACAAAATCTACTTAAAATCTCCCCTGAAACAAACAAGATCTACTTAAAATCTCCCCTGAAACAAACAAGATCTACTTAAAATGTCCCCTAAAACAAACAAGATCTACTTAAAATCTCCCCTGAAACAAACAAGATCTACTTTAAATGTCCCTGAAACAAACAAGATCTACTTAAAATGTCCCCAGAAACAAACAAGATCTACTTTAAATGTCCCCTAAAACAAACAAGATCTACTTTAAATGTCCCCTGAAACAAACAAGATCTACTTAAAATGTCCCCTAAAACAAACAAGATCTACTTAAAATCTCCCCTGAAACAAACAAGATCTACTTAAAATGTCCCCTGAAACAAACAAGATCTACTTAAAATCTCCCCTGAAACAAACAAGATCTACTTAGAATGTCCCCTAAAACAAACAAGATCTACTTAAAATGTCCCTGAAACAAACAAGATCTACTTAAAATCTCCCCAGAAACAAACAAGATCTACTTAAAATGTCCCCTAAAACTAACAAGATCTACTTAAAATGTCCCCTAAAACAAACAAGATCTACTTAAAATGTCCCAGAAAACAAACAAGATCTACTTTAACAGTTTAGTTAAAAAATTTGTGTTAATTTTTTGAGTCAGGGTTAAATGTATTTTTAAAGTAATGGGTAACTGTCATGATGTGGGTAGAGTCACTTAAGAATGAACATGTCACTGTTGCTACATCTCATGTTTTAAACTTAACTACTGTAGTAAACAATGAAATATTACAATAAACTCATCCACAAAACTGTACTTGACTTTCCTTTGAAAAGCCAGCTTGTAATTGATGTTGTCTCGTCTCAACTGCTTCTGGTCCATCTGGTGTCTGTGTGCAAGAAAAACAGCCAATCAAAACAATGTAGCTATGACAAATACAATCAGCTAAAACTAGATCATTCAGAATAAAAGACACACCAAAAAATGCACACCAGAAAACTAGGGTCAATCAAAAGAATGGTGGCATAAAAAATGTAGGTCTATACAGTTTATAAACATGTGTAGTGCTACAGTATTTGTTATTAAGGTTAATATTTACTTGACACAGTATTTGTTATAAAGATAGATATTTACTTGACACAGTATTTGTTATAAAGATAGATATTTACTTGACACATTCCAGGGTTACTCCCTCAGGTACGTCATTCAGTTGGTAGAGATTCACTTTGTGTTTCGGCTCCTTTCCTGTTAGCAAAGTTTCTTTCCTAGCAAAACAAAAATCATAGATAAGATAAAAAGATCTAGATCTAATAATAGCCTAACAAATAAAGAAATTAGCCAAATTTAAAGCTTTAACACCTATTAATACCAAAGAGCCAACCCGCGGCGTAGCATACGCTGCTATTTAGTTGTTTTATTTTCTCCTTTTTAACATTGTGAATTCGACATTACCAATCATAATTTGAACCAAAAAAAAAAAAAACTTAAACAAGATGGCTGCTAAAGTAAATGAGCTTGGTTGCATCTGATGAAAACATCGATAGTCTTTATTTATTACTGAAAATTTTTAATACGATTGTTTAAAAACAGGTACATCAATGAAACTTTGAAACATTTTTGTAACTTTTAAAACATAAATATTTCTAAAAATGTAAAAAAAAAAATTACAAAAATTTGATGAGTCACCCTTTTTTCAGATTACTAGTCTCTGACGATTTTAAGCACCTAAAACAATAGATTGCCTACTTTTTAAAAGTAAAAAATCAGTAGAGGTCTTGGTAAAACCTTAGTTTAACATCAGAAATTATTGGGTAATGTTTGTTGAGTTTCGGTAACTAAAGTTACGGTAAACCATGGTTTTTTTACCATTGAAATATAAATAAAGTGAAAGTTGATTGTAGTAAATTAATGTTTCAATTTTTTAAGTTTAATCGACAAAAGGAAACAGGAGAGGAATAAATATAACGAGCCGACCCGCAGCGTATCATACGCCGCTATTTAGTTGTTTTATTTTCTACTTTTCAGTAATTCATAATTTGTGAATTCGACAGTACCAATGCTGCCACTGAAAATATTTGCTTTAAAACACTAACCCCCCCCCCTTCCCCTAACCCCGACCCTACACCCCCCCCCCCCCCCCCCCGTGAAAGCAGCCTCCTCTTAGTTATTTCTTAGTTACCTCCTGTAAGTTTAAAATCGAACTAAATTATCTGCCCCTAATATAGAAACCCGGCTCTACTGCTCTACGATTTGTAAACATTTAGCTTTGTAAACATTTAGCGTGACCACAACTCACCAGACAATGTGGGGGTGGGGTGGGGGTGTTAGTGATAGTGATAGTGAGAAAGAGAGGGGACTGCAAGGAGGTGCTTGCAGCTTGTTTTCTAACGGCTCCCAGAAGAGAATTATATATATAGATAGATAGTAGATCTAAAAATTTAAAAAATATATATATATAGCCTAAATATAAATAATAAAGTCAAATGTAAGACTTTGTTTAATGTTTTTGGCTTACAGTGGATTTGCAACTATTAATTAATTAGATCTAAATCTAGCTAGCTGCCAGGCCAAGTAAAAAAATAGTAAAAATGATTAGGGGCCTACAAAAATGTAAAATTGATTACAAAAATAGTACAAGTCAAGTAACTAGAAACAGGGTTCTTACGGTATTTTGAAAATGAAACCAGACCTTTGTAACCACACCATTATTTGTGCTTATAGCTGAGAAACTTTTGTCTGCTATTAAAAACTACCGGTATCCCCCCACACACACACAACAAGAGACAGTGAAGGGGTCACTGTGAGGTCACAGTAGCCCAGTCTAATACATCATAGCATGAATTGTACAGTAACTTCAACTTTTATTCCCCTCCCCAGCCAAACAGCACCAACTAATTACTAAGTACTTTAGGTCACGGTGAGTTCATACAAGTTTAGATATCAGTGAACTTAGTAAATTAGTTACTAGGAGGGGTGGGTTAGTATTTAACACGCAATTAAAATAAATCTATCCAAATTTTAAACGTTCTGTATTAAAAATAAAAGATGACGCCAAATTTTATTTAAAATAAAGTGTATGGTTTAGCCTTTAGGCCTACACTTTACACTAGTTTACACTTAACTTAACAGTACTTCCGGTGGGTTCTGGAACTGTGTGACAGACTTTGCCATTGTTTTACTATTTTTTACTCCTATACTACCATTCCGGAATAATAACTGACGCTAAACTAAGGTTTTACAGAGGTCTTTATAATATTTAGATCTAGATCTAGCTGTTGTTGGCCTTAGATAAAAAAAGATGAGATGAACAAATCTCTGAAATACCCGCAGACTTCACTCAATTCTTTGACAGTTTCTTCTGGAATTGACATGGTAGAGGCAATATTGTTCATCATCTCAGTTTCATTTTGAGGCTTGTATTTTACTAATTCCAAAACATCAGAATCCCATGATAAGAGAAAATCTTTAGGACATACATATTCGGATTTTGAAGGGCTACCTATTAAGATGGGTTTTACATCACCACCGTCCATCATTGTTTTATTCAAAACCCGTTTAAAAGTTGAGTGGTTTCCCTTTGTAAATAAAAAGTATCGCATTTTACTAATTTCATTGTTCTAATTTTAATGTTTTGGATAAAAATGTGTTTAGGACGTTTAGGGGGCACCTTGATAGTGGTTTTGTAAAAAAAAAAAAACAAGCAGGTCTACTCTAGCAGTGATTGTTTTACAGTAGCTAACACACACTGTTGCGTTAAAAATATGTTAAGATCTACAAGAGCTATAGAATCTAGTTTGAAAGATAGGCAAACGTTCAGACTACGTCCATGAAATCGGGTCAATGTGGACGTCCACATGTGGAATTAAACCATAAAGTACTTAAATTTGAAAATTTAAAAACTAAATTTTAAAAATGCACATAAAATGTAGATTATACTTTAAATCGGCAGTTCTTGTGGTAAATGTATCAATAATGTAGCTGTTTACCACTCGCCTAAGAAAAAAAGCGATTTGTTTTTACAATTTTCTAAAACAATTTATGGTATTTCAAGTTTATTTTAAAACTAAATCATAGTATGCCTACATCATTATTTTGTGTCAAAGCCTAAGATGATGTAGATCTAGTCATTTTTTTTTTCAAGTAAAAAAACTCAAAATAACCACGTTACAATTAGATATTTAAATATCAGCGCGTGTATAATGTGCTCGCTTGGTCAGCTGTGTAGGGCTAACGATCAGTGCGAACACAAAAAAGGGAGAGGGCCTTGAAGTGTGTTCTTGGTTGGACAAAGGCTATGCAAGTTGAGATGTAATAGTATTAGAGAAAATCTCCCCCAACATAGTCTAACAATATTAAGAACGAAGGAGAAGAGGCAGTGAATTTAAAAAAAAAAAAGTCGCAAAAGTTTTTCAAATAGGCTATAGATCTAGATAGTATAGGCCTAGGTTATCTATCGATTTACTTGTTGTTATTTTTAGAATCTTACTCGTCAATTTACTCTATGTTTTTCTAATTAATATATTTGTTGAATTGAAAGACATTACGATTTATTATAATAATCTGCTTTCCATCTTCCTAACAAGTAAAAGTACCATAATATAATTTGAAAATCAACCAGTCGTTTTGAAAAAAAAAAAAAAAAAAAAAAAAACAGCTGAAAACTGAGCACAAAAAGAATTTAATAAAAATCAGCGAAAGAAAGAAAAACTACTTTTCAACAAATTTTTACTTTGGATTTTGCCATATGCCTTTCCTAAGTCGGCCATAATCGTCCGCATTGTGTATTGTCCACTTGATTTCGTACAATTAAAAAACCCTGCATACATTTAATGGGTCATCTAGTGGCAGTAGCCTACATATTCAGTTATCGTAACTTAGATAATAGATTAATCGTAGAAAACAGACATCATTTTTTTTTTACTTAAGGCTATTCAGTTTACATTTTATTTTAGACGTTGTTGTTGGCAAATTGGTATCAAATATCTGTTTGGTATTTAGGTAATTAAGTTTTGAGATGACGTCATACCTTGGAGGGTTATAGGGGGGAGGGGTCGGACTTTTATGAGGATGTGTGACGCGGCTCCCGGTCAAAAACCCCCTGGACATAAACCCCCCGACATAAACCCCCTGGACAAAAACCCCCGCGACATAAACCCCCTGGACAAAAACCCCCCGCGATAAAAAAACCCCTGGACAAAAAACCCCCGCGATATAAACCCCCTGGACAAAAACCCCCCAATTGAGGTTTATATAAGGAAAAACCAAAGATGATGAGAAACAAAATTAATATAAAAATACAAAACAAACATTAAAAAAAAAACTTTTATTTTTATTATAACTTTAAAAAGACAGATTGTGAGCGATGCCTCGCAAATACTCAATAATGGTGGACTCATTAAAATTTTTAACAACAGTTAAAATTCGAGAGCTGCTATCAATATATTTTTTTTTCTGATTTGGTAGACAGTGACCTGAATGAATCTGTGTACAATAAACCTCTTGGAGAGATTGTTCCTTTTTAATAAAGTCAATAAATTTCCAAATATTTGGGTGGCAACATCCCATATGCGACTGAAAACTTCTGTGCCAGCCTTCAACTGAGTTGTTTGTTTTTGGCATATGGTCTGGGGTGTTGCTTCCGTTTCTTCTGCCAGTTGTTTCATCTGCTGCACTACTTTACACACTTCCAGTTGAGATGGATCTGGTCCATGCGAATGTTCATTACATCGTCCAACAAGCTGTTCACCATGAATCTTTATTTTTGCTTTGCATTCTGCCTTGTTCCGTCTTTTGGCACACTCAAATGACACAACGCCGTTCGCCAGATCTTTTTGCTTGACATAAACATAGCCTTCAAAAATCACCTTTAAAATGCCTTTATTGGATTGAACGAACTCCATTCCAGAAAATATACGATTTGTCGAGAAATAAATTTGATTTTATATTTATACCATGGTTCTGTATGCCAAGGTGGATATGAACCAAGCTTCCGCCGGTGAATCCCTCACATCTTTTGAATTGTTAAGAATGTGTTGCTTTGATCCGCACGGCTCCCACATGTGGATGACCTATATCTAAGGTGTTGTCGGTGCCCGATCTTTGATCAAATACAACTAAGGTCACTCCTTGATTTCGAAAAGCATTTTTTTTTAGGTAGAAACTATTTTCTTAGTCGTAAAAAAATTAAATTAATTTAATGTAATTTTTTAAATTTCTTGGTTCACATCATCGTTATTTTTTCTTTATATAAACCTCAGTCCGGGGGTTATTATCCGGGGGGTTTATATCGCGGGGGGGTTTTGTCCAGGGGGTTTATGTCGCGGGGGTTTTTTGTCCAGGGGGTTTATGTCGCGGGGGGTTTTTGTCCAGGGGGTTTATGTCGGGGGGTTTATGTCCAGGTTTTTTTTTGACCGGACACCGTGTGACGCAGGGAAGGGGGCGGGGTACGGTGTAACAAAACACTTGGCATTTTAAAAAAGTAATTCAATAATGAAACTTAGCTTTAGCAATTATTTTCTTTTTTTTTTCTAAACTTTTTATTGTAAAAAAAAATATGTATAAAAATATTAATCAATTGAACTTACGTTGACACAGCTCGATAAATAATTGTATAGAAAAAAAAATAGCTGAAAATAATATGCGATTTGGGTGACAAGGGGTGTGGGGGGGGGGGGGGGGGGGGTGGGGTAAGGGGTAGGATAGTCAAGGATGGCAACACATCAGTGCCAGATATTTTCTCACGTTACAGCTATTATTTTGCCGTGATGTATTTTTATCACGCCTCTAATCGGAGCAGATTTTATGGCACGCCATTTTGTAAAATATGTCGTTTTGTGAAAATGACCTTTCATTCTTTGATAATGATAGATTATAACTTTTACACTACAGTGGAATTTTTTTTTTTAAATATTTTTAATTACCCCCACTTTCTTCAGTATACACACAAATAATTTTTATGCTGAGACTTCTATTTTACCCCACCCCCATCTCCCCACACACACCCTCCCACAAACCCCATCGCCACACCCTCCCCACCCCACACAACCACACAACGTTCAATCTAATCTTTTGATTCTATCGCCTCTAACAAGTCCCCGCTTAGAATAAATAACTTAATCTCACAACGAGGGGATTAAACGGATTAAACAGTGGCCTTTAACTTTAAAATCAATACGAAAACCCACAATTCAAACAACCACTCTGAACCCTATAGCTACCAACATAAAGCCACACTTGGGGAAAGGCGTATTGAGACAATGGACAAAAAATTCTAAGGACCCCTTTTGATTTAAAAATATAAAAAATAATCTTAATCGGATTAGGTTTTAATGCACTCTACTTGTAGAAAAAATATAAATGCTGTAAATGGTTCGATATATTTTTAATTGCTCACGGCTCCCATCTGGCTACAAACTTCAGAACTTGGGTTGTGGACTCCAATCTATCAACATGAAATTGTGTAAGTTAACATTATTTTAGTCAACATGAAATTGTGTAAGTTAACATTATTTTAGTCAACATGAAATTGTGTAAGTTAACATTATTTTAGTCAACATGAAATTGTGTAAGTTAACATTATTTTAGTCAACATGTAATTATTCAAGTTAACATTTTGTGTTAGTCAACATGAGATTATATAAGTTAACATATTGGCATGTGTTAATGTTATAGTGGACAGTCAGATAATCTAAGACAGCCGGTCAGATAATCTAAGACAGCCGGTCAGATAATCCTAACTCTACTGCTCCAAGAATTAATTCCGTACCCTCTCCCCGACAGCACTAGTGGTCCTGGCCGTGGTATTGGCGGCAGTTGTAGTTCCAGCAAGCTCCGACCTCTGTTACAGCCAGTGCTATGAGGAGTGTAACAAGGGCGTGCCGTGTAAGCTGATTGCTGGGATTATGGGCAGCACGGAGATGTGTCCTAACGTAGACGCTGGCTGTATGAAGCCCTGTGAGGAAAGGTCAGTCCAAACATGCGTCAAACATTGATCAGTCCAAACATGCGTCTAACATTGCTCAGTCCAAACATGCGTCTAACACTGGTCAGTCCAAACATGCGTCTAACATTGGTCAGTCCAAACATGCGTCTAACATTGTGTCTTCTGGTCAGTCCAAACATGCGTCTAACATTGTGTCTTCTGATCAGTCCAAACATGCGTCTAACATTGTGTCTTCCGGTCAGTCCAAACATGCGTCTAACACTGGTCAGTCCAAACATGCGTCTAACATTGGTCAGTCCAAACATGCGTCTAACATTGGTCAGTCCAAACATGCGTCTAACATTGTGTCTTCTGGTCAGTCCAAACATGCGTCTAACATTGGTCAGTCCAATCATGCGTCTAACATTGTGTCTTCTGGTCAGTCCAAACATGCGTCTAACATTGGTCAGTCCAAACATGCGTCTAACATTGTGTCTTCTGGTCAGTCCAAACATGCGTCTAACATTGGTCAGTCCAAACACGCGTCTAACATTGGTCAGTCCAATCATGCGTCTAACATTGTGTCTTCTGGTCAGTCCAAACATTCGTCTAACATTGGTCA